TTTTGGGGGAGTCCTTGGTCTGTGAGGTCCAGAGCTTACACAAAAGGAAATAAGTGGATAGATGGCTTTTGGGAGAAGGTTTATTCATCTACATATTCATACTCCATCCATGCATCATCCATCCATCAATGTATTTACTAGGTCTAGAAATAAAACTGAGATGTTGGAGCTCTGTGCTCTCCAAAACTTGGAAGCAAACTCAGGCAGATGTTTTTAGTTAGACTTCTAATTTCTCCATCCACTTTCCCTGCTTTGGTTCCTCTTTACACCCACTCACAATACCTGTAGCTCTGGGTCTACAGCTTCCTGCAGCTTCCTTATAGGACAGCTCACCTTCCTCTTCCTGCTGGGACAGAGTTGAAGCCAGACCTCTTGGCTGTGGATGGTGGCTTCCCTGCTTATCAGCCTTATGACCTTGGACAAGTCACATAACTTCTCTCTGCTTCAGTTTCTTCATCTACAAGGGAAATGATGACTTCATAGATCTCTGACAGTTGCTGTGAGCCTTGGATATTTGAATACATGTCTCAGGTTCATCGCTCAAAGCCTGTTAGCTGATACTGTGGTCATCAAAATCACCATCATTAATGCAGTTCTTATTCTTATTCTCTTATTCTTATTCTCCGCTCTGTCTTTTTCTGTCAATATAGGGCCATGATGTTTTCTTCTGACATCTCTCTCTAAGCCTCCCAGAATTTGTAGAGACTGCTTGATGAGCTTTTCCTGTCCCTTTTTTTGCCTTTGAGTCTCCTCCTCATCCTTTCCTTCTCTCCATCTCTGCACCTCTGGTAATCATTTTACACTTAGATTACTGATGTCTCAGCAGGGACGAGAGACATAGGTGATACTTACTCACTTTTTCTCTATTTTCTGAGTGGTCCAAATCATCTCAGATGATCGAGTCTCTTTTATTGAAAAGGTAAAACGTTTCTTAGCGGTGAAGTGGAGAGACTGTGCTGAGCTCCTCACCAAGTCTTCACTCAGCAGTTCCAGCATCATTCCTCAAAGTCTGAGCTTCAAGAAGGCTGTCCCCCATGTTGGCTGTCCTCTGGGTTGGCTGTCCCTGCATCAGCTGTCCCCTGGGTCAGCTGACTCTGCAGGGCCTGCCAATCATGGCAATGTGGGGCCCAAGGCATTGTATGCAGCATCATCTTTTCCACACTGAATTGAAAGGCAAATCATGATACTAACTGACCCCGAATGGATACTGGGTCTGCGGCATCGGGGATGGCATGGACCAGGGGACAGTTCACTTCAAACATTACTATTCCTAGTTGTGCTAAAGGAATTTGCTTTCCCAGCAGGTAGCGAGGTGCAGCAGGATGTCGCAGTCAGCCAGCACGTGAAACCACTCTTTCTTCTGTAACTTTCCCCTGCTACCCTGGGCCAGCTATTCTTGCTACTGACCTGCAGAGCATTTATGGGGTTTCATGAAAGAAAAGTGAGTTATCTTTCAGGGGTGCGTGGTCTTATACCACAGTCTCACTGAATACAAAAATGCATGAATAAAACTCACCCTATTCCTTGATAAGGGGCCTTTCTTCTCAATAATCCTGTTGCTATGGCTGTTGGCAGAGAGGAAGTCACCCTAATATTCTCTTTTTAACTTCTCAGAGTATTCTCTATCGCAAGAGCCAGCAAAGAGCTAAATGAGAAGAAATCTAAGAAATAAAATCAAAGAGACATAAACTGCATATTGAAAAATAATCCAGCAGGGCCAAGCAGCTTCTAAAAAAGTGCAGCCAACAGGCTGGGGTCTACCTTGGGAGGCAGAGCTGGACTCAGCTCCTGCCCAGAGACTGTGCTGGGCACAGGTGGGGGAACAGCTGCTGCTCAGGCCCTGTTTTCCTTGTGATGGATTCAGGGCTGGTTTAGAGACACAGGTACACTGCACAGCTTCAGGAGGGGAGGAGGGAGGAATGACACCCCTCCTTCAGCAAGGGGAGGAGGGGAGGCATGGCTGGAGTGGCTCGGGGTGGGGCAGAGAGCAGCCAGGGACAGCTGGCCTGGAGCTGCCTCCTAGATCAGCCTGTGTTCACCTCCTGTCTGTCCTGTCCAGGGGTGGATGTGGCTGGGGCTCTTTGTTTGGAGGGATTTGGAGCCACCTCTGTTTCCCCCTGCTCTGTGATCTTAAACTGCAAATTGCAAGTTGGGCATTGTTAAGAGTAAAGCACTCAAGTGTGTCCCCAGGAAGTGTTAATGTCCAGGCCTGAGAATAACCTTGAGGACAGCACTGTGCTAGGCACCATGGCTGCTTCTGCTGGTACTCATGGTATGACATCCTGCTGCCACCCCCAACAGATCCACAAGGAAAAGACTGGCCTGCAACAGCGGCTCCCCAGCCTGTCAATGCAGCAGAGTCTCCAGAAGCTCCAGAGCCTGCTATCCCTCTCCTCATGAAACCCCATGTGGGGTTGGGAGTCCAACCCCATTGTGTCCTGAAGCCTGGGTGGTGATGCCACATGCGGGCAGATTTGGAGACATCTGGCTGGAAGATTTGTCAGCGAGAGCAGGCAGCCAGTGCTTGTGCCTCTGAGTACTTCTGAGGTCTGCTCTCTGGGTAATCTGGGACCTGTTAACTCCATTCGAAACATGTTTGCAGGCACAGGGGACCTGTGAGTGATGGCCAGGTGCCATTGTGTGGATGCTGCTGGAAACTGGGTCCTGATTAAACCCAGGCAGAGTCCAAGGCCACGTGATGCTGTCTTAGCTGGGGAGGAGCAGTTTTGCTCCCTCCTTCTCAACATCTCCCGGGTCAGGCTCTCCTCAGGAGACCTTTGTTCTGGCTGGATGGAAGATCACCCGCTCTTTCCTGACTGTGGCCTTCCTTCTAAGGGTTCCAGCTCCCTTTGATAATCGGGGATTCAAAAGAGAACAACAGTTTCGAATGGGTTTACGCAGGCCCGACAAGGGCCATTATTGCACATTAACTCTAGGCACCTGTCCTCCTGCCTCGGGAGGGAATTCATCCTCTTTGGCAGCGGGGCTGGGCCTTGCTCACAGGGTCCCCCCTCCCTGCCTGGCCCCTTCCAGGGCACTCTTCTTCTGAGTGACAGCTCCTCTCTGTCAGGCCCATCTCCCCTGGCCAGGGCGTGGTGCATTTATCCACGTGAGGCCTTCTGTCCTGTGCATCTGTCCATTCTGAAATATAGATCTATCTGTTTTGACACTGAGAGATGGCCCTCATCAGAATGGTTTGGGGGGATTTGGGGAATGATGGACTGCTGTGGGGTCCGGCCTGCCTCAGCACTGAGACTGTGGATGTCCCAGAGAGGCCCCTGCTGCACTAGGCATGATGCCCCTGGCGTGGAGTGGACCCAGACTGGATCCCAGGACCCAGCATTTTTACCTGTTCACATTGGAGGATAAGGCTTTATTCTAATGATTTCTCCCCTAACCCCACAGCCATATGCCTTTCTTTTGTATCTTAAAAGAACATACAGAGGTATCACCTTGTATCCATAACCCGAGAGGCCCATAATGCCCTCCCACAGATCCCACATCCACCACTAATGTCACCCCTACTCAAGCCTCCGTAGCCGGGCAGCTTGAAAGTAAACACCTCCCCTTCCCTCTCAAACTGCAGTAAAGGCAGGCATCAAGCTAAAAAGCTCCTGCTCCCAGGGCCTTTTCCTGTGACCTCTCTTTATTTTATCAGTGTATATTTGCAGTGCAGAGCAGTGACTTCCACTCTGAGGAGTGGGTGCCTGCATGTAGTACATCTTGACCATTTTCAGCCTCCTTATATCCCTCCTCCCGATCTCCCTCTCTCCCCTGTCCCCTGGTCCATGCCCACGGTCTGCCTGGTGATTCCTGCCTCTCTCCTTTAATTAATTAGTGCTTTAGTATCTGCTCTTACCCCCATAGCCCCGTTGCTTCGATGCCCCGAGACACCGCCATCTCCTAGGCGCGCGAACTCCTAGGAACTTAGCTCTTCCTACTGACCACATGCCTCTCCATCACAGTGTTATTACGAAATGGAACCATTATTATAAAACTGAAAAAGCAGAAAGAAATGGACCCTTAAGGTTGAGGGAGCAGAGTGGGATGAGCAGGGGGAACAACCTTGCTCTGCACGATGTGGTCTAAAGAAGCATTGCAGAGGGACCCTGAGTGTCACGATGCCCTACGAGAAGGGGCACTGAGTGCAGGCTGGGTGCCACAAAGACAGTCATAGTGCTGAGCAGCTCTCTTCTTACCCCTGCAACTTAGATGAACCCTGAGCGCAGTGGCTGTCTGTTGCTCCCCTAGCCTTCACCATCCAGAATCCCAGCAGGTACTTGGTGTGATCCTGCAGGATCTGGGGGAAGGGGCTTGTTGGATGAGATCAGACAAAGCTCTGGCCAGCACTGGCTCTCCAAGCTCCAGGATCCCTCTGATGCCCCAGAGGCAGAGCCCCGAAGCCCCGTGTATGAGCAACAAGCACCTTCTGTTTGCACACAGAGCAGCTGCCTCGCCATGCCCATCAGCTCAGAACCTGAACTTGGTTCTGTCCTATCCACGTCAGGATGCGTGGCTCCCTCTCTCCCTGATTCCCTTAGTGTCACAGCCATGGGAGCAGGAGCACAGCTGCCTGAGGCTCTGCCTCTAAGTCCCCCAGTGATGCTTTATCCTCTTCACTTCACTGGGTACGTCACAAGCATTTCTGGTATGTGTGTAAAGCTCATCGCTGAAATGGCTTATAAATGCACCTACACTACCAAATCCACACACACATCATTGCTTGCTATGGACCTAGTGATTCTTCCCTATGTATTTATTATGTATCTGCCATTAACATGCTGGATTTCCCGAAACAAGTAGACATTGATAGGGAAAGAATGGTGCCATCTGTAAGCCCCTTGCCACGGGTTAGTTTAGATCAGGCAGGGGTGACATAGCCAGAATGTTTGTGTGAGAAGTAGACTTAAACACAGCAGAGAGATAATCCCAAACCAGGACACATCTTGAGTGAGCATGTCAATAAAAGGAAGCAGAAGCATGGATAATCCAAAGCAATGAATAATAAAAAAGATTTTATGCTTTGGATTGAAATATTTATTTTGCATTTTGCCAGCCATGTGCGTCTCTCCTGCTGTCCTATTGAAAGTGGGCCATGACCGAAGAGTGGCCAGCAATGCTCAGGGCGGGCGGCCCAGTGGTGGGCTCTGTCGGAGAGCAACCTGGGGAATGAGCGATCCAGCACCTTGCAGAACATGCTGTCGTCTCGTATCAGACTGGATGATCTTTGAGAGCTCTGTGGCCTGTCTCACCCTTCTCTGGTTAGGGAAAATGGAGCCTATGATGCGGTAAAAGCCTGAGATGCGTGGCACGTGGGGCTTGCTCCCCGACATTTCTGTTGTCACCCTGAGAACAGCAGGCCAGGTTGGCCTTGATCCTGCACACGGGGTGAGAGACACGTGGCCAAGCTCACCTGGGGTAAGGTGACGGGAGTGCTACTCTCCCGCTGTGAGGAACACACAGTACCTCTAGTAAGAACATGACCCAGTCCAACTCCACACCTCAGGAAGAAACAAAAATGAACTCCTATACAACACCTACTGCTTGTCAGACATAAAATTGGAAAAGGAGGTAAACAGAGCCCATTCCTGGCTCTGTTTCTTCCTGAGGGTACCTCGCTTGTCTGTATGTTTTGGCCCGGAGACGGTGCTCAGCCTGCAGTTGCTTCATAGAGTAGGTCATCTTCGTCTCTTGCACATAGAGTCAGCAGCTCTGTTCCTGTAGAATCGCCTCGTTTTGAAGACAGGAGCTTGCTCTGGAAGATGAGAAATTGGCCATCAGGTGTTCTCCGGCCTGAAGGAGCTGCCCAGAGAGTTTTGGGTGCTGGGTGTCCTTGGAAGCCCACCCATGGTCGAGAGCTGGTGTGGAATAGCGCTTGGGAGCACTTTGGGCCACACCTGCAGGGAAGCAGAGGTGGCAGGGCCAGCAGCTGAGCTGTTGTGCAGTTCCAGGGAAGGCCTGGGCCAGTCCTGTATCGTGGCAGGAGCTTTGGGGCTGAGAACAGGAGGTCCTCTTCAGTTGAAAGGAGAGGACTTGGTCTTCATCCTGCCTCACTGACAAGTCGTTGTGCCCAGGCACCCTTGGGAATGGGATCTGAATGTCGGTGAGGGGCCTCTCTGCAGCCAAAAGCTTATCTCAGTGCTGGACTCAGCTTCCTGCTGCCCGCTCCCCATATTCCAAGCTGAGGTCTGCATAGCACTCAGGCCGAGAGGGTGTGTGAGTGATGCAGGGCCTGCTGGGCATGCGCCAATGGACCGCGACACAGGAAGAGATCCCCAGGGAAGGGAGAAGGAGGCCAGCTTCAGGTGGGCTGAGGGGTATGGGAAGTAGTTTGCACATTACTTCCCCTGGGCTGTGCGGTCCATCTGAAGACAGAGCGGTCTGTGAGTTTGGAGAGAACAATGAGCAGTTTTGTCTGGTCAGGAGGTTGAGGCTGGGCAGTGGGAGGAGTGGAAAAGAATCACGACCAGGCCGCTGAGGCCAGAGTAAGGAGAGATGTGGAAGGTAGCTCCATGTGTGGGCTTTGTCTGCAAAACTTGCTCCTCTTGGCAAAGAGTGAATTAATATGAGAAAATGAAAAAATGGAAACAAAGTCTTTGTAAATAGGGAGGGGTGGAGGGGTTGAAGGGAGGGCAGGAGAAGGGGGAAAAATGAGAACCAAGATAAAGTATGTCAAGGTGCAAGTTCCCAGTGATGAGTGCCATCATATTGTGTACATAACATGCGCCAATAAAGTTAATGTTACAAAGAGTGAAGGGGGCAACGTGGCATCTTCAGGTGGAGGCGCCATGGCGTCTGCAGGAGAGAGGTGGAGAGACTGGTGACCTGGTAGCTCCCGAGGCTCAGGTACGAACATACCTAGGAAGTTGGACCCAATTGTCAGACGGAAGAGAGGAAGAGATGGAGGGTCTCCAGTGCCAGGCTACGACCCTATATGCTGTGCAGGGTCCTTATCCCTGCAGGAGAGCCGTGGGGGTTTCAAGCATGCAGGACGGCCTGACCCCACATAGCATCGCAGGGCCATGCTTGTCAGGATGATGTTCAGAAAGCCCCAGCCATAGCCAGTGTGGAGTGAGCCAGCACTTCCGAAGCCCGGACAGTGCGTCACACGGGTATTAAAGAACGGATCAGACTCTGCCCTGGATTGCAGAGCCACTTTATAAAGCATTTTCACACTGACCTCTTTAGTCATGAAGAATTATTTACAAGATTTGTGTAGAAATTTCTAGTCTGAAACAAATTGGCTGTGCAGACAGGTCCAGTGAGTGATCAGTCTGCTTTGGAGTCTGGAAGAAAATATGAAAACTCACAATCAGACGGAAAGATGGCTTTCCCGTTTAGCTGTACATCAGCGTAGCCAGTATCAGTTACCGCCATTAACTGGAGTTAATCAATTAAATCATTAATTTAATTTCCCGATTCATTGGCAATAAAAAGCATAACACTGTATATTTGCCAAAATGATTTGCAAACTCAAGTTAAAACAGTAATTTAGCAATTAAATACAAAGGAGTTCCATTAATTTGTATTGCTTTTACGTAGCAAAGCAGTTAATTACAAAGCAGAATCATTAGTCAGAAATTGATACTAATCAAAGTATGAGCAGCAGGAAGAAAATGTCCAAGGAACAAGATGACAAAGTCATTGCCAAGAGGCAAATAGTTGATATTAATATTTAATATTTAAGTACTCTATCCCACAGGAGAACATGGGTTCTCATATGACTTATCTCAAAGAAGAGCTAAGAGCAAGCACCGAAAATCATTGTACAACTACAATTTTCTGTTTAAATATTTGAGAAAACAACAATAACTATTTATCGTATTTCAAATCAACATGTTAAGCCAAGAAGAAGCTCCTGGCAATATTGAATAAATCAAAAGCATCACTTAAATCACTTACTGGAAGCCCCGGGGCCGCAGAGGGGGAGCTGTCATCTGGACTGCAGGCTGCTGTTGGCTTCCGTCCTTTGGGCACCTGCTCACAGGGCTCCCCTGAAACCCTGGGGGGGCGGGTCGAGTGTGCAGGGACCAAACCAGAGACCAGCGTCAGGAGGAAGCTCCCTTGGCTTGAGAATCTGGGCCGATTCTGGTTCCAATTGAGAAGAGACCGCCACTCCTCCAAGCAGGCTGGGAACGGAGGCCTTGAAACAAAATTACACATTTTGAAATAAAACAATTGAAAACTTTGTATAAATGCATCTCACATGCTAAATAAATGAAGTGATGACTTTATAACGCTGTGTGATAAACGTTCTCGCCCATTGTCCAGTGTGTCCCTGTGGGGTGGGGACCTGGCCTCCAACCTAGAGGACGAATCCAGGTACAGAGAGGCTGCCAAGGGCCAGGGCTGCACAGCTGGGAATCCCGGGGCTCCTGAGCCCCACTGACCAGGACTTTATCTAGAGCACATTAAGGGCTTCAGCTCCCCTAACACAGACAAACAGCTCCAAAGACAGCGGGCAAAGATCTAAATAGCAAGTGCAGAGAAGGGAAAGCTAAATGATTCATATACATATGAAAAGATCAATTCCAACCAAACCAGAGGGATGCAAATTAACTTAAAAAGCAACCATGTTCCACACAGAGCCAACTGCCACAGCAGAATGGAGCCAGAGCCCGCGGGCCTGGGCAACAGGCAGGCGTGAGCAGCGAGTTTCTGTTGCTGGAGGATGCAAGGTGCTGCCTCCCAGCTGGGGATACCTGTGTGTCCCCCACTCCCCTGTTGGGGACCCATATTCCAGACGAGAACACTGGTGGGGCCCTGGAGGCACAGATGGAGAAGGACATTGCTGCAGTGTAGCAAACCCTACGATCCCTGAATCGGCCATCAGACAAGGACTTGCAGGGCTGCCGCTGAGGAAGTTCACCCCGCCACTACACAGACTCCAAGGCAGTGAGCACAAGCAGTGCACTCCAGGTCTATCAGGTGGAGCAGGAAGAGCTCGAGGAACTGCATGGCATCTTTTATTTCTTTGCAGCCAGCAACGTGTGATTTGTATGTGTGCATGAGCGTGTAAGAATGCACGGAATGTGGTGATGTGCACAGTGGGGTCCACTGTGGGGTGAAGAGTCCCTGAGGTGGAGGGGGTAAGGTAGAAGAGAAATGAGGAAAGGCAAAGAAAAACAAAGAAGGCTTTGAATTAGCGCCACAGTTGATTCCAATCTGTGAGCCATACAGAAATTCAAAGGGATAGAGAGAGCGCTATGTGTAGATCTATATCTACCCCTTCTCTTCCCACGATGGACAGAAATGTCCCTAGTCATGGAACGAAGCCAGGCCCACACTAATGCGCGTACTATGGTGGATTGTGGTCCCCTCCCCCAGGAGGTGTAGTGGCTGCCCACCTGTGTGGAAGCCAGGCACCAAGCTGCAGGGCTGGTGGGCCCAGGAAGGGGCTGGGCAGGCAGCAGGGACAGGGCAGCTTTTCCACCATGCATGGTGGTGGCCCTACTGCACTTGGAATATCCCTGCACGTCCTCTGTGTGACTCCAAGAATAATACAGGCATGGTTCACATGTCTTCAAAGTCAAAGCACTGTGAACCCCCTGAGTGAGCCAACCTTGTTTCCCTTAATCAACATCTCTTGTTGGTTTTGGGTAACTCTGGATGCCACCCTGAGCTGTCCCAATGATACCCATTGCCACGAATCATACTGTCTTTTCAAATTATTTGGGCATTCCAGATATCATCGTTTCTGTTCTCCATGGGGAAAACAGGAAGTGCTGTTGGGCTCACTGTGTGGACATCCCCGGGGAGACGAACTCCTAGGAAGGGCAACTGGAGACAGAGCCCACGGTTCCCTCCGCTCTTGGTGGATCCCTGTTGCTCAGGACCAGTGCTCACCCAGAGGGATGCTGCTCTCTCTCCTGTTGTGGCCAGAGAGGAGGGAGTCGCTGGTCCCTCTTTCCTCGGCATGGAGGCCCCTGTGATTTCCCAGGATGTGTGGTGTGAGCTGCATCTTTCTGCTTGCCTGTTTGCAGTGCTTCAGCCTCTAGGGACAAGCCTGTGTAGAAACTTCCAATCAGGCATTGATTTTCAGTCTGAATATTAAATCCGTATTGAAGAAGAAATTGTGCTTCATTAACAAGATGTCTCCCCCTTGCCTCCTATTGACTGGGATAATAAGGCCACTTAAACCTCCCAGCTTCAGCTTCCTGCGTTGCCCAGCAGGCTCGGCTGAGTTCTCTGGTAATCGATGCCATGTGCATGTGTGGAGGTAAGGAAGAATGACAGGGTGGCAGATGCTGGACAGAGGTGCATGTTCATATGTGCAGGGTATTTTCTTTAGTGACCAAAAGATCTCAGCTTTTTATAACTAGATTTTCTTTTCACTTGCCATGCACATTTCAGCAGGTCACTTAATATAAAGAAGACTGATGGCAATCACGCACCACACCCATACCCCCCCCCACAAACACACATGTGCTCACATATCCACACACATGCTTCCCTTACCTCTAATGGCATTCTGATTTCGGATGCCGTGATCTGTTCCTAAGCTGCCCATATGAACAGTGAGTTAATGACAGCTGACAGACCCAGACTAATCTCTAGGAGAAGAGAGCAGAGTCAACCTGGTTCCCTCTGAAGAAACAGCAGTCCCTCTGAGCCAGGCCTGCCTCTGCGCTATGTGCACAGGCAGGTGAGCAGGTGCCAGGTATATCCAGTGCAGGAGGAAGAGGCGATGGTTCAGACTCTCCACTGTCCAGGATTGGGGATCATCAGCTCCTTTACATTTTGTACACGGGTGACCTGGAGGTTTTGTTCCATTCTAAAGGCCAATGGGACCTCTGCTTTAGAGATAGAAGGGGAAGCTGGCTGCCTTCATATTCCCTTTTGCTCCCCTTTGGGAAACTCCGATTTGCATTTTAGATGCAAATTCATGTAAATCAGCACTTATCTTCAGATGGACGCCTACCATTGAGAACACTCTGGAGTCATATTCTAATGCAGGTGTGCATTTGATCCCCATGTGATTTCTCGGCATATGGATTAGGCCTGCAATAAAGGTGGTGCCATCATGATTGGGCATGCCAGACAGTTGGCCCTTACTTTGCCAGGAGGATGGGAAAATCTAAGTACAGCCCTTTTCCAGCAGGGGAAACAAAGCTGGGCCACTTGCCAGCTTAGCCAACTGGCTGCAGCATGGATTGTCCAGTGCGGGTCAGTTACATTCTGCCAGATGCTAGGCCAACAAACACTCCCACCCCTGGCTACTTTCTCACAAGCAAAGGTCTTTGGTTTTGGTAAGCAAGAGAATGCATGGCAGGTCTCACCACCCAGCTGAGCTCCTGCAAATGAGGAGTGGACACACCATTCTGATGGCCACGTCTGTGTTGTTAAGAAAGATGAGAGCAGGTGGCGTTATGAAGGAAGGAATTGCCACACTCTGGTCACTGATAAAGTGGGTGCTGATGGCACTCTGCAGGTTGACCTGTGCACTGTCCATTAAAACAAACAAGGAAAGGAAGAGAGGGCAGTTCTGAAGGCTGGCGAGTGACTCTAAGGACGTGGCAGTCATTATGTGAGATGTTCCAGGGACAAGTCACTGAGTCAGAAATAAAACAGGGTGTCACTGGGAAAAACTGAGTTGAAAGTGGAACATCATTCTAGCCTGATCGTCGATGCTTCCTAAGAAACAGGTGATGGGCATCCTGCAGGCAAGGCAGGTGGAAAGAGGGAATGACCTGCTGTGGTCCAGGCGTCTCCTCAAGACGTGCAGAGAGGTTTACGAGCCCTTGTGATGGCATTAAGAGGCTGGGTCTTGAGAGGTGATATAGTGGAGTGGGGCAGTTACTGCCAAAGTGGGTTCGTCATTAGTTATAGAAGGGACGAGAGGGCCGGGGATGCAGCTCAGTGGTTTCACCATCTGCCTCTACAGTGCAAGGTCCCGAGTTCGATCCCTGCTACCCCCTCAAAGAAAAGAAGGGAGAGACTCACTCCTTCTCTCACCATGTGGTGCCTCCTTCCCTGCTAGGACTAGCGGCAGGCCCTTAACACACACTATGGTCAATGGCCTTAGGTTTCCGGCCCCGACAACCAGGAGCCCAGTGCAGCCACTGCGTATGCTTTACGCACTCCGGCGCTCCGGGTAAGGAGGGGCAGGGAGCGTGTCTAAGCCCTCGGTGAACTGTGGAACGAGTGAGATTTTCCGGGGATCGGGGAACTTAGAGAAGAGGGCACCCCCTCCTCAGTAACACCTGGAGAAATAATTCGAAGGTCAGGGACCGGAACTGAGACGTTGTTTTTGTTACAACTCTTACGTTTATTTAAAACAAAACTATTTTGAAATGTGAATGGCTATTCTCGCTGATGTGTAGTTTTTCACTTTGGAAATAAGGGAGACGTGAAATGGAAAGTTTGCTGTGTGCTGTCTGGGGTCCCAGCTGCTGCCCTGGGTGTCGCAAGCGGGCGGGCAGTCTGTCCCCTGAGGCTGGGGCTGGCAGCCAGGAGGAGCAGGTGGGCGATCTCGGGGAGCAGGCGAGCCCCTCATTAGCGGCGGGGCGGGCGCTGCGTCTATCTGAGGCTGCAGCCCCCAGAGGAGGAGAGAGGCAGAATTCGTGAGGCTCGGTATCAACATGCAGACCGAAAGGCTTTAGCTAAATCTTCATGCTCGTTCCGTAATGAGAGGCGGATAGACAGAAGCGGCCCCTGGAGGAGTCCGCGCCTCACGTGAAGGGGACAGTTTGGGAAGGAGCCGCACGCGGAGCGCTGTGACGCTGCTTCAGGGCTTGAAACCTGCCCCTGTGACGGAGGGACGGAGGGACGGAGGAGGGAGATTGATTCTAGCGGTAGAATAGCCATTTTCAAGAATAAGGGCAGCTGCTCTGCCGAGGAGGCGGCAGCTGTCCCTTCTTTCCAGCGACACCAGAACAAAAGGAGGGGACTGGGGCAGCAGGAGGCTCGGGGTGAGGGGAGATGGAGGGGTCGGCTGGAGGCGGACACGGCATGGTGGCTCTGAGTGCTGAGACTGGACAGAGCCTGCTGGGCCCGGAGCAGCTCCCGCCTGCTCCCCAGGAGAGCCGGCCCCACACTCTGGAGGGGCAGTGTGGGCTACAGGGCAGGTGGCCCTGGGGGCCAAGCTGCCAGGCTCCGAGGCTGCTCGGCCAGGGTGAGCTTGGGGCCGAGCCAGCTGCGCCCACCCGCGAGGACGCCCGGCACCCTGAGACGCCGCCTGCTTCCACCAGGTCCCGCCCCCGTCTACAGGGACTCCAGCCCAGGTCTCTACTGTTCCCAGCCATCACCCCGTCCCAGACTTCCAAGTAAGTCTGAGGTGGAGAGGGACGAGCACATCCACCTTCAGAAGCACTTCAAAGTAAACAGCACGGCATTGTCAGACTGCGGGGGCCCTGGTTACTAATTTCATTAGGAGCAACCGCAATCGGCCTCACATTTGGAGACTGGGACTGGAAGTTCGGTTCATGCAATGCTACACAATTGTCCGGAAAAGGTTGCAATCAGCAGACGGTTCGCCCTGGGCCCACAATGCCCATCATTTTCTGATGGTGTTTTTCTCTCCTCTTAATATTTCCTGTTTTGGTGCAGAAGGATGGAAGATGAAACTTCACTTATTGAACTTCTGCTGAGGATGGCCAGAGTAAATACTGCCGCTGATTGTTTTTCTCCTCTAATCTTGGTGTGGATCTAGTCATCATTTCTCTAATTTCGTACACATTCAGCCCTGAGCTCGGCAGGCCCACTTGGTGATTAATTTTCTCAGCAGCTATCAGGCATGGTCATGCTTGCTTACCGGGGGAGCTGGGAGCAATCAATAGATTAATCACTCAGACCGTGCAATCAGAGGAGAGAAGCGACATCTCAGCTGACCAAACGCTCCTTTCACTTGAGATTATCCTGCTTGTTTATTTCAGTGGAAAAATTGTAAGGCCTAGGATGATGCAGGACAGGGAGAGGTGACCAGGGATGGCATAACCTGACTCCACCGGTCCAAGAGCTGAAACGGTGTCTTCTACCCCGCATCTCAGGGATGCTATGAGCAGTTTTTTTTTTCAGGAAAAAACAATGATCTTAATTAAGATGTAATTCACATTCCATAAAATTCAGTTAAAACCATATATTTTAGTGGTTTTGAGTATATTCAGAAGGTTGTGCAACCATCACAATTGTTTTAAGCCATCCAAATCTTCATCATTTCAAAAGAAATACTCAACCATTCAGCAGGTATGCTTGACTGTACCTTGCTTCAGAGTCCCTGGCAACCACTAATTTACTTCCTGTCTTGATGGGTATACTTCTTCTGGACATTTTGTATAGATAGAATCATACAATATATAATGCTCTGTGAGTGGCTTCTTTAACTTACAGTAGTATTATGTGAGTTCATCTATGTTGTAGCATGTATCAGTACTCATTCCTTTTAATGGCTGAGTAACATTTCGTGGCATAGAAATACCACATTTTGTCTATTCATTCATTCATCGATGGGCATTTGGGTTATTTCTATTGTTTGGTTATTGTGAATAATGTTTCTGTGAACATGTTTGTGTAAGTTTTGTGTGAATGCATTTCAATGCTCTTAAGTATATACCTAGAAATAAAATTGCTAAGTTACATAGTAACTCTAAGCCCAACTTTGGAGGAACTGCCAAGTGCGTCCTGCAGTGGGTGCAGCATTTTACATCCCCAGCAGCAGCAATTACTAGGATTCCATTTCTTCCATCTTGCCAGTTCTTGGTATTTCCTCCTTTGCAGTGTATAGCCATCCTACACGTGTGTGGCGTAGTAGCTCATCGTGGTTCTGATTTTCATTTCTTGAATCACTAATGATGTTGTCTGCCTCTTTGTGTGTTTGCTGGTCATGGATAGATCTTCTCCAAAGAAATATCTATTCAACTCCTTTGCCCATATTTTAAATGAGTACTTGTCTTTTTTATTTTTGAATTGTAAATGTTCTTGTCATATAGCATGCATTCAAGATTTACATTAAATATATCATTTGAAAATATTTTTTATGTTATCTACATTGTCTTTTCACTTCCTTAATTGCATCAATATTGGTGCATCAAAGGTTTTTAATTTTGATGAAAGCTTTGGCCAACTTTTTCTAAATAGGCTATGTCAGCATTTCTCAACATGCTTTCATTATCACTCCCCTAAGGAGAAAATTTTAATTTAATTTAATGAGTTAAATTAAATATTAAGGCACAGATTTTGTTGGTTAGCACTGAGCTAGCTTTGAAGAGCTGCAGGCCACTGGGATGCATAGGATCTCTTTTCCTCCAAGTATCAGCCTTTCCTCTTGCGCCGACACTGCTCTCTCTCTCGCTCACTGAGAATGTGTGAGTTGGTCAAAGTTTTGCTCCTCACCTAAAGAGGGCAGAAGGGTGGAAAGCAATCTGTCCCTGTGCCTGAGGCCATGCCCCGGCCTGAGCTCAGCGTCTTCTGTCCACCAACCCCTCATAAGTAGAAAGAAGGGAGCCGTGGCTCTGTTCTCACCCAGCACAGGGTCTGATCATCCCCACACATTATTCCACATGTACACTTTGCCCTTCAGTTCTGTAGCCTAGGCTTATGGAGTGGTGTTTCCATCTGTCCACCTGCCCACAGTTATATTTTCACTTGATGCACTTGACTGACCCTGGGCACAGTCTGAGAATGCTGATTTAAATTTTATTCCTTTCAACTTGGTTCTCAAATTCATTGCCTCATAATGCCTTCAAGATCTTTTCTAGTCCTTTGCAAATTTTAGGCTTGATTTTGTGCACCCAGTGTGGTTTAATACTTATTACCCTCGAAAATTTGTGCTGCTTTGTCAACAAGAAACGAGACAGGTCCCTTATTAGAGTAACTATCTG